CTGCCTGTATCAGGGACCACTTTACTGTCTTCTCTAAAGTTCTTGGTTAGATTATCTGAAGTTTGTGTTTTTTTTGGTAAATTTCTATGATTATTCTGATTTACCACATTTGGCTTTGAAATACTGTATTTAAATGTTAGGAATGTCATGCCTTAGGAATTCATAACTAGTCTAAACTAAATAATGGAGGAGGAATATACTGGGAAAATCCAGCCAACTTAAGTGCCTCCATTACATCTTCCAGTTTAATTCTTTCTCTGTTACTTTCTGAGGCCAGTTCTTTTTGGGGATTCGGTTTGGTACAGAGGATGAGCTTATTTATCTCTGTATTTTTTATTTTATTTTAAATGCGGAGTCTTGCAGTGTCAGCCAGGCTAGAGTACAGTGGCACAATGATCTTGGCTCACTGCAGCCTCCACCTCCACCTCCTGGGTTCAAGCAATTATCCTACCTCAGCTTCCTGAGTAGCTGGGATTACAGGTGCACGCCACCATGCCTGGCTAATTTTTTTGTGGTTTTAGTAGAGAAGGGTTTCACGATGTTGACCAGACTGGTCTTGAACTCCTGACCTCAAGTGAACCGCCTGCCTTGGCCTCCCAAAGTGCTGAGATTACAGGCACGAGCCACCATTCCTGACCTCTGTGTACTTTTTAGAATGTGCTGCTTAGTTCTTATGAAATCAAAGGAAAGATTAAATGTCTTGATTAAACGTTTTAGATCTGTGTTCAAAAAACGTTTAAGGAACTTTGATTTTGCTACATGCGTATATTCTTTCTTGGTAAAATCTCAATTTGTGCTGCTGCTTGTTCTTAGAAAGTCTGGTGTGAGTGTCAAGTAAAAAGGTGGTCACTTAACAAAGTAGATACAAGCACTTGACTTGTTTGCTTGAATAAAGCTGACAAATTGTACACACTAAAGATTCTAATGCTGTATATCTAATATATGATGAAGTCTGATTAAAGTTTAAACTACAGCCGTATGTCACTTAACAATGGGAGTACATTCTGAGAAATGCGTCAGGCAATTTTGCGAATGTGGACCATACTTACACAAACCTGGGTGACATAACCTCTTGCTCCTAGGCTGTAAACCTGTACAGCATATTACTATACGCATTCTGTAGACAGTTGTAACACATTGGTATTTGTGTATCTAAACATACCTAAACACAGAAAGGACACAGTGAAATTAAGATAGAAAACATTTTTTAAAAAAGGTTACACCTATATAGGGCACTTATAAATGGAGCTTGCAGAACTGAAAGTTGTTCTGGGTAATTCAGTAAGTGGTGTGTGAATGTGAAGGCTTAGGACATTACAGTATACTACTGTGGACATTGGAAACACTGACACTTAAGCTACACTAAATTTATTTAAAAATTTTCATTCCTGAACAATGAATTAACCTTAGCTTACTGTAACTTTTTAATTTAATCTTTTGGACTCTTAACACTTGACTTAAACATGTACAGCTATACAAAAATATTTTCTTCCCTTATATTCATACTTAGCTTTTTTCTATTTGAATTTTTTTGTTTTTTTACTTTTTAAATGTTTTTGTTTTGTTAAAAACTGATATACACACTCTTAAATTTGCTTAGGTCTATTAAGACATCACTAGGCAATAGGAATTTTTCAGCTTGTTTATAATCTTGTGGAACCACCGTCATATATATGGTCCACCATTGACTGAAATGTCATGCAGCACATGACTGTCATTTATTAAAATTTTTGTTTACCAAATTAACTTTTTAGCATACGTTATAACCAGTAATTTCAATGTATTTTGATACAATATTGACATGTCCTCTTTGAAATGTATAGAAATTGATTTCTATGTATGCTAACTTCTCTTCCAGGGAGAAGATGGGTATAGTTTAACCCTTTCATATCATCCATCCATCCATTCATACTATTTCTGCCTCAGAGTATATCCTTTGTCCAACTACTACTCACCACCCTATTTTCCTGCTTTCGTTTTGTACCCTCTTTAGCCCATTCCTCATGGAGTAGCTAGGACCTTTAAAAAAAAAAATTAAGTTACTCTTAAGCTTCCCCTAAATCCTCTCTTGATTTCCCATCTGACAAAGAATAAAATCCAGAGTTTCTCAGGCTTGCAAGGTGCACTATATGTTCTAGCCACAACTAGCCTCTCTTAACATCAGTTCCTACCCTTCACCACCTAAGTTCATGCTGCTTGAGCCATACCAGTGAGGGGCTTACGGACCCTGTGAACTGACTGCTTTTCCTTCAAGCATTTGCCTGGTCAGTTACTTCTCTGCTTGTTTTCATCCCAGTCTTATGTTCCCTTATTATTTTAAAATACTTCTACCTTGTTCCATCATTCTATGTAGAATAAAGGACAGGCACTTTAAATAAATCTAGCTTTATGAATAATCTGTGTTGTCTTTTCCCTTGTGATTTTGCCATGGATTAGAATTCTTTGTCTCATACCAGTACCCATCTCTGGATGGGGGTTTGCATTCGTCGGGGAGAAGTAAAACACCCTTACTTCTCCCTCCCTCCATCCGTCTCTCTCTCTGTCTCTCTCTTGTTTTGTTTTGTTTTTTAATTATTTGCCAAAGTCATGTAAAAATAATTAGTATTGTCACTGACGTGTAATTTCTGTGCCAAGGCACACAAAACGGAAATTAAGTTTAGCATATTTTCTTTCTTCTCTCTCTCTCTCTCTCTCTCTCTCTCTCTAACACACACGCACGCACACATGTGCGCACACACAGTGACTCTTGAGAAAATCTGCTATTGATGGAAAAGGAACATTTCTTCATTTTCTTTCATCTGGAACATATGTTTAATTTTGCCTTCAAACCTTTTTGCAAGGTATTAAGCATAAAAGTTAATTCTATACAATTAACTTCAGTTTGAGAATTCTAGGAGTCTATGATGGTCTTGATGATAAGTGTTATACAAGCAATGTCAAAAGAAGAGTTTATCAATTTGAGCTTATTTATGTGTGTAAAATTTGATGAGAGAGGCCTTGACATTCACCTGAAACTTTATTGAATTATGTACGTTTTATGCATTTTCCATGTTTATTCTTTCTTAGAATTAGAGCTCAGTAGTAAAAGTTCTGTAAAGATAATTAAATGTATCTTCAACTTTCACAAAACAAACTTCTAAAATCTTATGTGTATTGAATCTTAATTTGCAAACTCTAAAGTGATTTTTGCCACTGTTTGCTTTTTGAAATTACTCACTAAGAAACATCTATTTTGCCTATAGCAGGGGCTACTTAGGGAGCTGGTGGATAGGCATGTGGGATCCTAGTCTGAAATAACAGAGTTACAGAATAGCCTTCTGTAATTCACCAGGAGTCTGTTTCACAAAAAAAGATTAAGTACCTGTGTTCTAATAAATTGTTAGACCCTTAAAAAATATCTTTGTTTATTTCACACCTCCAGCAGTTACTCGCCTAAAAACATATAGCAAAGTACTTTATTTATCCTTGACTGAATAGGTTTTCAGACCTTGTTAGGATGAGGTCAGTCAAATAATTAAATTTCCTACATATTTAACAGGGAACTTAAAATATATAACAAATGTTACACATCATAGGTGCTTTCAACAGAGTTAAATATAAAGTTTGGCCTTTAAAGTCTGCAACATAGTTCACCACGTCTACTGATATATAATAGTGACTACAGCATTTTTTGAAATGAGACATGGAAATTGTTCACTTATTTATAATGGAAGAAAATATTCTTTGTCATAATGAATGTACAAGACAGATACCAAATTTGAGATGAGTTTTCCCCAAAAATGTACTTGTGAAAAGACATAGTCACCTTGTATTCAAGTCTTTAAAATCTCTCCTCTCATTAACATTGGTTTACCTTGATTTTCAAAGTACTGTTAGGAGAAAGACACATTGACCTTCAATAACTTTAGTCAGTTAATAGTTTTGGTAATTTTATAGAGGTCACGTTTTAAAAATGATTAAAAATAAAAATTAGCACAGAGTTTAATAATTACAGTTGGCCGTTCATACCCATGGGTTCTGCTTCTGTGGGTCAACCAGCTGCAGATTGAAAATATTTGGGGAAAAATAATGGATGGTTGTGTCTCTACTGAACATGTACAGTCTGTTTTTTCCTGTAATTATTCCCTGAACAATACAATGACTATTTATATAGTATTTACATTGTATTAGATATTATAAGTAATCTAGAGATGATTTAAAGTATATGAAAGGATATGTGTAGGTTATATGGAAATATTATAAGCCATTTTATGTGAGAGACTTGAGCATCCGTGGATTTTTTTAATCCATGAGGGAAGAGGTCCTAGAACCATTTCTCCACAGATAACAAACAACAACAATTTATGTTGGTGTGAGCTCAAAATTGCTAACGTTGGATGTTACAAAGACTGGAAAAGCAAACAAATACACAGATTATATCATTGAAATAATTTTACACCAGTATGATCAATGAAAGATTGTACTCCAGTTATGTTAGTAGATACTTGCTTGAGATAAAATTCTAGTATGCCACTATATATACACTGATTCAAAAAATGGTATATTTCAATAAATTTAGATTGCAAGGAAAGATGAATGCTTGGGAAAACAGATAACTGTGAAAATAAGGTGATGGCAAATACACAAAGGTGGAAGATGCATGTGAAGATTTTGAATAATTAAACCTAAACTTAATTTAAAAAAAAAATCTATGTATGGGAAAATGATATTTGGGGTTGCCATTTTTGAAGAGTAAGTGATACTTAGTTTTTTTAAAGGAAGTGGAATTGTTAAGATAGGCTTTATGTGATTCTCCTACTTTTAGGGTCTGGAAATAAACATCTAACACTTTATTGTTATAATCAGATTTATGACTTTATCATATGCCCCACTAGCCATTAGTTGATCAATTTCTGTACCTTAACAATGCTCCCTTCATGTTCTGTTTTCCATGTAGGAGTAAGGTAAAACTGAACATTTTCCAAACTATTACCCTTGATAAAAGTAATATTTTTGTTTAGGTGACAAACAGCATGTTTGGTGCTTCAAGAAAGAAGTTTGTAGAGGGGGTCGACAGTGACTACCATGACGAAAACATGTACTACAGCCAGTCTTCTATGTTTCCACATCGGTCAGAAAAAGATGTAAGTTAATCAGTTGTGTTGTATTTTTTCAGCAATGTAAGTCTGTGTCTGAGTTCCTGAAAAACAGCGTTATCAAGCACAGAATACTGTCTGTGGTTGAGTGACAATATTTTCGGCACAGTGCTAGTCCCTTTGGTGCTTGTATCCTTTTGGGATACAAAGACAATGAACTTGTATTCTAATGGGGAAAATAAATATCCCATGATTCTCAAGTTGGGATATGGTGATAATGTGGTAGAAGTACTCGAAGACATGGAGTAAACATGGTATAACTTCTAGATCACTGATTTTTTTTTCGTTTGTTCAATATGGGAAATAATTTGTTTGATATTAAAACAAATGCAGATATAGAACAGAAAGCAGATTTATGCAGACTTGAAGATACAATGGCAAGCTGCAATAAAACTTTATGCTTACTGTGTCATCTAGCTGTAGTTCTGGACCTCAGGTGTATCTCTCCTCTGTTCAGCCATAGGGATACTACAGTAGCAAAAATTTGGAAGAACTGTATTCAAAATGTGATGGATGATATAGAGATATGAATTAAATGCTTTGGAAGGCTAATAGTTCAATAATCCCATTTGAGATAAAAGGATTTAGAATGTAACCAAGTCATAATTAGCAAATTTATAAAATATTTTAAAATGAATGTAATTATTAAAATTCTGTTAAGCTACTTTATACACTATACACTCTAGTCACACCAGTTGCGTTCTTATACTTCGTACACCTGCCTGACTTTTTTACCTTTCACACCTTTATAAACTTGCTATGTCTAATTTCCTTATGTATAAAACAATCTACTGTAGTTATTAACCTAACGAGATTTTTACTGATATTTGAAGTATTTATAAAGTTCTAAGATATGTAACAAATGTCCTCGTTTTTCTTTGAAGTTGATCATTAGTAAATCACTTCCTTTGTCTTTGCAGAATTTCACAAATCGGCTTAACCTGCTAGGTTTATGCTAGGACATTTGTTATTCTGTTTTGGTATTTTCCTTTTTTATTTTGAGTTGAACATTTTTGTGTCATTTTGGAAACAAACTATCAATGGCATTATTGGGCTTTTTTCAACTAATGTGTGTTGTGGCTTTGTTCATAATTAGTGTGTAGTTTAACAGCTTGTGGAATAATGCCATCTAATTTTCTGTTATCTTACTGCCCTTTTAGCTATGTGCTATGTAAGTTATAATTGAATTATTATTTACACAGGTTTCTATTTTAAGTGTTGACCTTGTAAATAAAGAATTTGGGATATATTTTTGATAGTACAACTACAAAAACAAAAACCTACAATTTGTGTGTATTGCTGTGATTATATAATGAAAGTTAAGTTTGCTTGTAAAATGTTAATGAAATATTTATTACTGATGAATGCATTTATTCTAATTAGGAAGATAGGAAGCTTTCAGATTGAAATCTAAAATAAAGTATATAAAGAGAATGAATGACAAAGAGATATATGTCTTCTCAAAAGCAGAAATACTATATGTCTAAATTTTAAGATCAGAATTAGTATATATACTTACACACATACTCACAAATGTTGGCCACCATTCTGATCCAGTTAGTTGTCACAGAAGTAACAGAATGATTTGCTCCACAAAACCTTTTTTAAAAAAACATTAATTAACAACATAGTATGGCATAGGAATTAAGAACTTGGACTTTAAAGCAATACAAATATGTGTGTTTGGATCCTGACTTTGCCTGTTAGCCAGAACTTCAACAAGTCTCAGTTTCCTTTTCTGTAAAAATGGGAGTAATAATATATTCCTCATAAATTGGCTGCTGTTGCTGTTACTTTTTTAAAATTACAAAATAGCACAGGGAAATTATACAAATTTTTTAAAATACACTTGAAGAAAAATTACCTATAATGCTCTCAGAAATAATTAATTGCTAAAATTCTGATTTTATGTTTAAAATATTTTTATTGAAAAATATACAATTATTTAAATCTTCTGGGTCATACAGACATATTTTCCATCAAAAAGTTTGTACCAGTTTTTACTCTAATCACCACTCTCCATGCCAACAAGAATACCAGCAATTACATTTAAGTCTTTGCTAATAGAAAAGCTTATTGTTTTCATGTACATACTGTAAAACATTAATTTTACACACACACACAGTGTGATGTGTCTTTTCCACATAGTTATTGGTCATTTGTATTTCTTCCTTTGTGTACCTTTTTTGTGCCATTTTCTATTTCTCTAGTGAGATCTTAAGTCTTACTCGTTTGCATTCTCCATGTATTGAGGATAATAACCTCTTGTCATTCATTACAAATATTTTCCCAGTTTTTACCTTTAATTAATGGTATTTGTAGTATACGTATATGTATCATTTTAATTAAATGTGATCCACCAGTCTTATTTTTAAATGGCTTCTGTTTTTGAGATCATACTTAGGAAGACATTTCCCAATTACTTTCTTATCATACTTTGTTCTTCACATATAATTTATGTCCATTAGAAATGTGTTTTGGTTTAACCTGTGAATTGCAGGGTTCCAAATACTTTTTTTTCTACAAGCTTATCCAATTGCCCCGACAGCATTTATGCTTTAAATCATGGGTCAGAAGACTTTCCCTTAAAGAACCAAATAGTAACTATTTTAGGCTTTGTGGGCCAAGAAGCAAAATCAAGGATATACATAAAATCATAACCTATTTTGTATAATAGGTCTTTATATAACCATCTGTAATGTAAAAACTTTTCTTAGTTCACGTATCTTACAAAAACAGGCAGTGTGCTGGATTTGTCCTGCAGACAACAATTTGCCCACTCCTGGGTTAGATCATTCATTTATGGCTAATTAAAATATCCCTTTATTATATGTGCTAGTGTCTCATACATTCTTAGGCTTGTTTCTAAGATCTTGTTCTGTTTACCATACTGATTCTGTGTCAGAACTACGTCATTGAATTGCCATAGCTTTGTAGACCATTTTAACGTCTTGGGTAAGAATCTTCCACATCCTTTTTTTAAAAAAAAGGTTTTTGGTTATTGCACATTAATACCAATGTAGATGGTTTTTCAGAAGGATATTTCTCCCTTTAATCTTGTTCTTTATGCCTTTTAATAGGGTTTTACAGTTGCCATTTTCATTGCATTTTTCAGATTGGTTTTTACTGACCTATGGAATACTTTGTGCATTTATTTTATAACAAACTGCCATGTAAAACTCTTTTATTAGTTTTTGGTGATTGAGAATGTAGGCCCTGGAAATCCTACTGTGTGAATTTTTATGTCAGCTACCTGATTTGCTAGCTATGTGTCTTAGGACATCTGTCTGCGTGTCTCAGTTTTCTCATCTGTAAAATAGGAACTATAGTACATAGCTTATGGAGGATGTTTTTTTTCAAGTGGGAGAATAGTTAGTGTTTGTGAGGGGGGCACTGAAGTGACTGCTGTAATTAAGACAGACTGTAGAAAATAGGTTAGCAGTTAATATTAAAAACCTTTAAAATGTAAACATTCCTTGAGTCAGTCATATGTCTTTCTGTAAATTTCTACTTCAGCTCTAACCTGACATTCAGACAATATAATATAATGCCATACTTTTTTTTTTAAATAAAAAATTTGAATCTCAAGTGTTTAACACTAAGGAATTAACTACATTGAGTATTACACTATTTTTCAAATGTTCCTTATGTAAGCTTAAGAATAGTTTAATGAAAATTGTTTGAAATACCTAGTAGATGCATATCGTCAGTTATCTGATTTGTAAGCTACCCTGTTCTGTGACTTAATGACTGTTTTGTTTTACTGCCTGCCTCCTCCCTTGCCCCTTTTCCCTTTTGCTCTTTTTTGTTTGTTTGTTTTTGGGGATTTTTTGAGTCAGAGTTTCGCTCTTGTTGCCTAGGCTGGAGTGCAATGGCAGGATCTTGGCTCACTGCTACCTCCGCCTCCTGGGTTCAAGCGATTCTCGTGCTTCAGCCTCCCAAGTAGCTGGGATTACAGGCGTGTGCCAACACGCCCAGCTAATTTTTGTATTTTTAGTAGAAACAGGATTTCTCCTTGTTGGTCAGGCTGGTCACGAACTCCCGACCTCTGGGGATCTGCCCGCCTCAGCCTCCCAAAGGGCTGGGATTACAGGCATGAGCCACCGCGCCCGGCCTTGTTCTTTTTTAATGTATTACCTTCTCATAGTCTTTCCTTTTTTTGTGCCTGTTTGCTACATTTCGTTAGTTTCATGTTTTAAGTCATTCGTTTTCCAATTTTAAAGGTTCTTTAGCTTCTCTCTAGATCTGGAACTCTATGTGTGTGCATGCATATGCTTTCTTCCTTTTTCTTTGTCTCTTTTTCTCTTTGTGGATATGATACAGTTAAAGTCATAATTCATTTGTGGTTTTTGTCCTGGAATAATAACATAGTGCTAGGAATTATGTTATCACCATAATTTTGAGTATATTATACAGTCTTATAAAAACAATATTTTAAAACTTAAATGTTATTTTTTAATTGCTGTCATGGTCAGGGAATTTTTATGTAACAAAATTTTTTTGTATTTCCTTGCAACAATTTGTGGATTTCTTTGACATTCTGTGTATTAAAGGATAAAGAAGCTCTGTGATGGGTTAGGGAAATAACCAGAATCACATTACTATTTCTTCTAGTTGCTTCCTGCTTTTTATTGTTGTTTGACTGCTGTGTGCATTATAGATTTCTGAGAGATTTGGAAGACCTGATTATTTTGATGATTTTAGAGTGTGCTTTAACTTGTTGTTTTCACCTTTCTATTAATCTTTTTCTACCTTTTGCCACTCTTGAGAACACAAGTTCTACGCCTTATTTTACCTGGAATTTGTAAAGATAAACTTTTCTTTAGCACCCTGGGCAAAAAGTTATATAAATTAAGGGTATTATTTAATAAATTTCTCAGAGTCTGAATACCCGCCCTCACTCCTGTTAATGATAGTTCTGCAACTGAGGGGAAGATTAGATTATTAGCAGCTGCTGCTACCATTTATTGAGCACATACTATATGTCATATTTTATTTCATTTAACCTTCACTTCAGCTCTGTGAGGTAGGTAGTCATTTTCATTTTATAGGAGAAACCGAGTATTGGCTGTTCCATAGGTAAGTGGCAGAACCAAGATTCAAACGCAGATTATTTCTGACTCCAAAACTAGGCTCTTTCTATTTGTGCTGCATCCCCTACTGTAATGTGTTTCTTGATCTAAAGTTTTATACTTTTCTAAGAAATTTACCTTTATATTATTAACTTTCAGAATTTAAAAAATATATAAATTTTGTTTTCTGTTAATAGTACTTACTGTTCTGTCAGTGTATTTCTTGTGCGTTTTCTATGCTCTCATAAAAAGCATTTCTGTGACATTCACATTTCTTCACTGTGTGTTAAATCCATTTTTAGCACCAATTTATTTCATGAAATATTGCCTTCAGAATTTAAAAGTACAGATTCTTAGGGATAGACTTTATAAGAAATTAGATATTTGCATTTTTGAAACATTTTGAGGCAGTAATTTTAACATATGTCTGTATAGCTGATTGATGCTTATTTTACATGAATGTGTTGAAGGTTATAAACTCTTAAATTTAACGTTAAACTACTTTTATTATTCCTGTAAAGCTGTGTTTACTAACCGCTTTCATGTAGTGGCACATAGAGAAAATTATATTTAATATTACACGCTGTGGTAAGTGAATCACCCTACCGCTCTCGATGTCAAGTAGTTGGCCTGGGGACCCACCGCCTCTTTACCTTCATGCTCTGCTTCCCCTCCCTACTTACTCCCTCCTCCCATTTTGAGAGGGCAGATACTCAGGCATACTTGTAACTCAGGATATATAATCAGTGTGAGGAAGTAGACTAAAATGTGTGTTGTCTGGAGTTAACTATTCAATAAACATAAATATCTGATGAAAAATGTTTTAAGTGTTTTGACAATATTCACATTATGGATTGTTTTAAGTCATGCATTTATGTTGGCCAGCACCTTATATTTGCAGCCTTTAGAAACAACTATACTTTTTTATTTATAGCTTATAATGATAGAAAATCATGATTCTTATGAATTTTATATAAATCTTTTACCTCCCTTTTCTGATGGTTGATTTGTATTACTATTAGGAAAACCAGATTTTAAGATATCAAGCATTATTTGGAATAAAGAAGGCCACTACATAATCATAAAATAAAACTTACTAAAAAGGATAAAACTTCCTTTCTTTTTTTTTTTTTTTTTTTTAATTTTACTTTAAGTTCTAGGATATGTGCGCAGAACGTGCAGGTTTGTTACATGGATATACATGTGCCATAAACCTTTTCCCTTGTGTGATCGACTAAAGCTTTATTATATGTTCTTGTTCTTGCAATTTAGAAATGAACTTTTAATATACTTAACAAAATATTTTCAGTTAATGCAGTAACAGTAATCTATAATACCTAAGGAAAGAACTTATTATGCATCTTTTGATCTGTTGGGTTATACTTGGGAAAGAATATACAGTTTAGTTGTATAGATAAAGAATGTTAGTTTAATTGTCTAGGTTACACATCCTCTGGATTTGGGAGGGAATATTTGTAAGGTTTGATGCTTTTTTGTTTGTTTTGTTTTGTTTTGTTTTTTAGAATAATCACTACTGTCTTATTAATATTACTGCTTTTTTTTTTTTTTTTTAGAGTGGTGTATAACTCAGCCCTACCTCAGGAGTGTCTGATGTTTATCATTGGTCTAAAACTATAGTTGTATAAAAAATTTTGCAAACTTTAGTATAATTAAAACAACTTAGAATTTTGACATGAAAAAAGTATGAAATGTATATTGTAAAACCTCTACCATGTAAATGTTTCACCTTGCAGCACCACAAGACAGGATGAGAAAATAGAAAAAACAAACAAAAATACTTGTTTCACTTCTTGGTTTTTCTAACTGTGTCAGTGTCAGCATGATTTCCCATCCCTGGAAACCACACATCAGCCTCTGATAGTTCTCTCTTTTATGAGTCTCCATTCTCCTCCTTTTCCGATTATACCCCAGCTAGTCAACAGGACATAAAATAACTCTTACTTCTACCACCAGAATGCCTCTTATTTTTAGTTCCACTTCTGCTGTTGTCATTTAGCATCTCAACATAACCCATTTCTGCTATTAGAGTTATCTTCCCAAAGCCCATTTTGATTGCCACTTCTTGCTTAATATTATTTTTCTTTTTATTGCTATAGTTGGTAGCCATTCTTGTATGGCATTTATTTTGCATTCTTCTATGCCCTAACATGGGTGAGCTTTATCTCCGAATAGAGGTGAACTTTATCTCCTTTCATAGTTATCCTGTCACCACTGTTTATGTTCTCTAATAATATTACAAACCTTTATTTTTTTTTTTTAACAACTGGATGCTGGGTTTTTGTGTTCAATTTTTAAGTTTTTGTTCAATTTTTTTGAATTTCAATAGTTTTGGGGGTACAGGTGGTTTCTGGTTACATTACTAACCTTTATTACACTTGTTACACTGCATATTCTTGAGGGAAGACCCCTTCATTGTATGTACCTAAATGTTACCACTCTGTGTATTCCTGATACCTTTGTGTAGCTCCAGTGATGTTTCATGTTTCCTTTAGAGCATTTACCACACTGTGCCTTAAAATATAATGAGTTGTATAATTCATTCTCTTTCCCCAGTAGATTGTAAGCCCCTTGATGACATGGCTCATGTCTTATTTAATTAGGATGTTTTGATGGTTGTCTAATATAAGACAGGAAATACACAAATATGCACACACACATATTTTCATTTACTCAGCTTCAGTATTTACTTTGAGTATATAGCACTGCTACCTTCATTTCTATGAGGAATATAAAATGAATGTATGTTCTGTGAACATAATATATCTTCAAATAATTTACATCTACAAGGAAAAAAATTGATGAAGTAAATTCAAAGGCATTGTACAAGCGCCATGAAGTTCATATCACAAATATATAAATTATATACCATATCTATATAATTTTATTTTTTTAACTTGCTAAGTGAAATAGTAGTGTTGCTATAGCTGAAGTTAGTGTGACTTTTAGAAAACTTACAGTATTAAATATTAATTTCATTTGCACAGTTTGGTTTTATCCAATTGTGATATTCTCTTAAGAAGCATGGAATCTATCATAGAATGTTTGTTTTATGTTTTTCTGAAGAATGAGAAAAAGTGTTAGATTTTCACATTTATGGTATGATTCACAGATTTGTAGAGTATAATTGCAATGCTCTGTTTTCTTTATGCTCTAATATAATTAATTTGTTTCTAGATGCTGGCATCACCATCTACATCAGGTCAGCTGTCTCAGTTTGGGGCAAGTTTATACGGGCAACAAAGTAAGAATTTTGTGTTTATTCTGGGATACTTTATTCAAAGAGAAAAATAAGTAACTACCAAATAAAGAACAACCAGTACTTCCTTTGTGGGTTTACTGTATGATTTAAAAGGAAAAATGTTTAATTTTCAGAGTTTTATTTTACTTACATAGCAAAATCTCATTATTTCAGACCTTATTGATCCTAAGGTTGCTATTACTTTGGATATAGCATAGAATGAAATTTATTTCAACATCTTTCATATCTGTAATTTTTTTGCAGTATTTTTGAAGAATTTGCTAAACAAACTAAAAATAGACATTCTCTGTTTTCAATTAAAGAAAGTTAAAAGCTTTTTTTAGTTTATTTGATTGGCTACTCTGTGTGTGTGTGTGTGTGTGTGGGCGCGTGTGTGTGTGCGCGCGTGCGCGCCTGTTTAAGTAAGCTCATTACTTAGCGGTTTGTAAAATGTTCTTTGTTTCACAAATATTTCTGAAATATTTCTTCTTTTGCTTTAGCTCAATCTGGATATAGAATCTAGATTTTTGACTCAAACAGTTTAATGCTTGTTCCATTTTGCAGGCTTCTATTTCTTTTAAAGCGCTGTAATACTTTTAAAGCGCTTAGCACAGAACCTAGTGCATAGTAAGTGCTCAATAAATGTTAGCTATTATCACATAAAATTTTTATAAAACTAAACAATAAAATATCTTTATATTTTATCAAATTAACTTCCCAAATTGTTAAATATTAGTATGATTTTATCTCTGTTAATGTCAGATCTGTTGATCTCCCATTTCTGTTAATGTAATCTCTGTTAATAGAAGGGAATTAAAAGTGTTATAAATTCCCATCAGACATTATAGGATAATTGAATAACTGATGAAGACATCCGATGACTATCTTAACCAGTTTCAAATAAAAATCAATAATTTGATTTGGAACTCTCCCAGTATAATGAAAAGCAAAGTTTTGATAGGTATCAGAATAGTTTGTCATACCACTTTACCTTTCAAATTGATTCAAAGTGGGAGGATGAAACTTATTTTGTATACAAGCATGGTTTCCATTTACTTTTTCTGTCTATCTTTTGTGGCTTTTCTCTTTTTTTGCTATGGAAGACAATTTTGTTAATGTAGAATTAGTAGATAAAAGTTATTCTTGTATTAACAGTTTTTCTCCAGTCAAACCAAGAAACATTTTCATAGCTTATTACATAAAAAATATTGTTGTTTATCTACAAATATTTATCCTAGTTGTTGAAGGACTATTATTAGCTAGTAATTTATTCTGCTTACCCTGTGTTTTAGTATGATTTTCACCCTTCTGGTAACCCTTACTATAGAAATATCTAGCTATTTTAAAGCTACCTTTTGCTACCTTTTATTTCTTTAGAGCAACTGCAAGGAACTTACTTTATCTTTTGGAAGACCACCATTTATCACAGCAGAAAGTAGATATGGATTGGAGAAAAATTGTATTTGAGAAACTAAGGTTATTTTGTAAAGGATAATGGCAATTACTATAGTTATAATTAGCTATCTGGATTTTTAGAAATTCTAGTCTAATTTTTTTTACCTACAAATGTGAAATTGTAACTAGGCTAAGATATGGAATGGGTTAGGTGTGAAATGCAGTTATGTCATTGGTATGATAGATATTTATGTTTTTGTTTTTAAGGACATACAAAGATTAATACATGAGCAAATTTATTTTCATTAGAAAAAGAATTTTAAGGTACTTATTAGTTTAAAAAGAAGCCATGTATGGCAAACATTTTCCATTGGAGTTCAATATATTAAATCACTATATTCCTGTCACATTGGTGAAGCAACATTTTGAATGTATGGCTTACTCTTTTAAAATGACATTTTAAATGTTAGATAGAGTACAGAAAAATTGAACCTTAGATCAACTTTCCAAGATGTCAAGCTAGAAGCTATAACTAGTGGAGAAAGAAAGAGTCTAGGTTGCCAATTTCTGTCTGTTAGGACAGACCCAGGAAGGCCAAATAGGTCATTCAGCTGGTAGGTAATCTGAACAAACACCTTGTCAGACAGCAGAACACAAGCTACCATGTGGGGCTTGAGGGTTAAGGTTTTAATAATTTAAGTCAGAATGACAAAACTTAAGGGACTGACTTGAATGAAAGATGGAGAGAGAAGGAATTAGTAGGTGAGTGTAGATTAGAGATATTATTCTTTTTTTTTTTTTTTTTTTTGGAGTCTCACTCTGTTGCACAGGCTGGAATGCAGTGGCCGGATCTCGGCTCACTGCAAGCTCTGCCTCCCGGGTTTATGCCATTCTCCTGCCTCAGCCTCCCGAGTAGCTGGGACTACAGGCGTCCGCCACCTCACCCGGCTAGTTTTTTTGTATTTTTTAGTAGAGACGGGGTTTCACCATGTTAGCCAGGATGGTCTCAATCTCCTGACCTCATGATCCGCCCTTCTGGTCCTCCCAAAGTGCTGGGATTACAGGCTTGAGCCACCGCGCCCGGCCTAGAGATATTATTCTTATGGCCACGTATAGTAATTGCACGTTGACATTGGTGTAACTAAAAGTTCTTTTGTTTCCCAAGTGCATTGAGTACCACTATTAATTCTATTCAGTTGGCAAACTTTAATTGTAATTCGTGCCATTAAAATGTGAGATCTACTATCTATTGTGTGTTCTTGATGGTTAGAAAGGTTAGCAGTGGAAGAGATACAGAAGGAAGAGTGCCCTCTCTAGAAGTAAGAGTCACTGAGATTAAACAAGAAAGGGAGTTCATCTTGGAATAGATACAGAAGTGCTTAAACCTGGATTTGGCTAGATTTGGGTGGAAGTGATTATGCAGTGCCATGAGGTAGCCAGAGAATGCTGGCTATACTAGACTCGTATGGTCTTCGGTTCTAGTATAGTATGATGGTATCCAAATATGTAAGAGACTTTTCATCCAAGAATTCATGTGAATACTGTGCATGGAATGATAACTATAGAAACCAGTGGACATACTCTTGTATTCAAGTTGCATAATGTTTCCTATTTGTTATATTTGAGTGTGTGATAAGCTTTTAGGTGAATTAAGTCCTCACTTAACATTTGAAAGTTTTTTGAAACTGCGACTTGAAGCAAAACTACATATAACAAAACCAATTTTTTGTTCTCATCATCATTACAATGGAATGATGTTGAATGAAACAACATTATTCAAGGACCTGCTGTATGTTTTTTTGCCTAAAATCACAGTTTGCAAGAGCGATGAATGGCATTAAGTGAGGACTTCCTGTACACCTTACAGGCTTCAAGACCCATGAGCTCCCTTAAGCTGTCTCCTAGATTAGAATCAACAGGGAACCAGGAATTAATTTCTTCTGGATAGTCAAAGCATTGGAATTAAGTGGTTGATAGTTGCATTTACCTTTTCTTAGTTACCAACAGGATCTAGGGCCTTGTAAGATTGGAGAAAAAGGAAACTGTCATTTACTGAGTGCTTTCTATGTGCATGTTATCTTATAGGCACATAGCTTAGCAAAATATCTGGGTGAATTCATTATACAAATTTGTATCTGAATTCTCAGAGGACCCAGGTGTTTAGTTGGAAGAGGAACTAAATCTGTCTTTCTAAGTTCTGGACTCCTAGCTTGAGAACAATGACATAGTCTCATGCTTCCAGCAGACATTTCTTTAGCCTCCTGCTTTAAGAACACCTATGTGAAAGCTGTTTGCTTCATAGAGAACCCAGAGCACAGGTGGAGTGGTTCAGAAGTGATGCTATCAGCTATTTAAATAGGTACATGACATATTTTGGTTGCTTTAGGAAATTGTAGGACCATTGAACAGATACTAAATGCTTAGTAATAAGTACGGAGTGCTCTGGGATTTCTTGCTCTCTCGAACACGTGTTTTATAGTTGGGGAAGATAGGACATATTTATATGTAAAATATTAAATAACCGCCTATCATGCTAACACATAGATTAAAGATACCATGTGCAGAATGGTGTAGACAGACTTTTAGGGAGCAAAGTCTGTCTATACCATTCTCCTTGAGGAGTACCAAAAAAAAAAAAAGTTATCTATAGTGGTATGGAAAAGCTTCAAAAAGGTGGTAGGAACTAAAGTTGACAAATACTTATTGGGTCCCTACCATACATGTTCTGCCATGCTAGATACTGCAGATGTGTGGTAGAAGAGATCATCTCATTTATGCCATCTCTGCATAGTGTACCTACTGCTGTGGTGTTGCTGCATTATTTGTTGCATGTCTTCATTGCCTTTGTATCCTCAGTACTTTGCATATGACAAGCACTCAGTAAATATTGAATGCATGATCAATAAGAGGCAGTCTCATATAATCTAGTAGGATAAGTACACAAATGATTTTACTATGTAGTAGAGTAAGAAGTTCAGGGTTATTTGGATATTTCAGATGAGATAGGGTGCATTCAGGATGGTACAGCTGTAGACTATTTGGATATTTCAAAGGCAGGAGTAATCACGTATCTTGGAAAATGATTAGGAAAAGAATTTACTGATGAGATTATATTTGAGATTGGCATTGAACACACTGTGAGTAAACTTATTTTAGCAGTGGGAATAACATCCACAGCATGGGATAGATTTAGGAATGGCCTACTATATCAAGACAGGAGAAACCTGTTAGGCTATTAATACTGATTTCAGCAAGAAGTACAGTCTTCACATTTCTGAGAGATTGATTTCAAGATCATTGCTACTTTCCAAGTTTAAGAACACAGCTATAGAATAACATTTTCCACCATAAAACATCTGTTTTTGGTTTTTTGGCGAAAACTATCACTTCATTAGACTGTCTTATTTTATCTTCACTTTTGGTACCACCTGTTGGCTTTCTTTCCATAGGTATGTCTCATATACAGAGAGAGCTAATATTTATTGAGTATTATTTACTGTGTATCAGATGCAGTTTTAAGTATTTATGTGAATTAACTCATTTAACCTTCACAACAGCTCCATAAGAGGTTAAGGAATTTGCTCAGGGTTACACGATAGTAAGTAGTA